ATATGTTCACACCTTTGAGCCTTTGGCACTTTGTTGTCTAACAATAGAGGGGACGTTGGAATAATAAATGGATTTTGCTTCTGTTGTTAATGACAGTCCTAGCAGTCAATAGGATTTGAATGCTGATTATGTGCCCGGCATTGAGCTATCAACGTTATATGTATTATCTCATTTAATGTTCTCAACAGCTCCCGAGGAAGGGATATTATTAGTTTTGTTGTTCAGATAAAGACTTAGTGATAGGACCGAGAACCCATATGTCCCAGGCCACACGGCTAGAAAGTGGTGGAGCTCCCGGCCAGGTATGAGGAGTCCCAGAAGTCCCAGTTGACAGCAGGTCCAGCAAGGCCATGCAGGGTGTGTGTGGGACTACGGGAAGGATGAGTTTAGAGTCTGCACTAACTTGTATGTCTTGTTGGAGAGCCGTTGCTCTTCATTTGTTGGGCTCATTGCTCTGCTGCACATGCCTACTCGGCCTCTGTGAAGCCATCGCTTCACCCTCAACGGGCTGATGAAATCCCCAGATATGGGAAATGAAGAGCAGAGAGGAAATTTCCTTTGGTTTTGCCAAGGGGGAGTGGCAGAGGAGTGGGCCACTGGCAGGTGTTATAATCTGGGCCACAGAGCATTTCTCCACTAGCCCGTTGTGGGGCGGACTATGCCCCAGGAGACATTCCATCTTTGAGTCTTGAAGGTGTCTAGACTTTCCTCTTTAAAAGACAAACATCTTTGTAGAGATGATCCGGATCTCAAATGCCTTTGGGGATAGTAGGCAGGTGATTCACTTTGGAAGGGGCGGGGGTAAGGCTGAAAAAGGTGAGCTGGTTGCTATGGCAACCTGGGGACCATTGGCCCTGCCCACAGGCATTTACAACATGGTGCGACCAACAGTCTACGAACCTGTCAAAAGGTAACATTTTTTTTTACCCCTCCTGATTAGTAGAGTTCATCGTAGAGAACATGGGGAATAAGGACTACAGAAAAGACTAAATCAAATCTAAAAAGTCTAAAGCAAATAGAGTCCTCACTCTCTTCCTGCCCCTTAAGTCCTAGTGCCATCTTGGCAGAGTCCCCTCTAGTTATTTATTATTTTCTTTTTAGCTGAGTGTGAAAATCTGCTGCATCAGTGGGGTCTGCACTAAAGAAAAAGCGAAACAAAACCACATTTGAACCTCAGAGAAGAAATACCTGAGGTGAAAATAAGGCTCTCACTAGGTCAAATTTCAGACTGATAATTAGCTACAAGGAAGACCTCCTTCAGGAGGATACAATCTGGAGAGGCAGCGGCAGGAGGATATGAAAGGATGGATGGGAGGGAAGGTCAAGGCTGTGTCCGTGGATTTGCCAAAGCCGGCCAGAGAGGACCGTCAGCAGGATGGAGAGCGGGCACCGAGGGTAGCCTTGAGAGGAGATGGGAGTGTGGAGTGAGATGTTAAACTCGGCGCCTCTGTCCCTCCGATCCACATCCATCTACTAGTTAAGATAAACCATCCTACTGGGAAATTAAAAAAAAAAAATATGGAGCAGGAATTTCTTTCCAAGAAAACCTTAGCAAGAATCCCTTTATATATAAACAGACTTAAGGGTAGCAGATTGGGTTTTGAAGGGGGCCGGGGGACCTGGACCCCTCTGTGGCTCCAGATCTGCGCTCACCCAAAACCTTTTCTCCTTGCTCTTCGAACACCCTTGGAGAAGTGTCATTTCTCTCTCAAATCGTCTAGAACTCCTGCACGTCGCTGATCTCGGTGACCCTCATTTCCTTCTTTGGCTCTCCTCCACATTTACTCCCCTCAGTTTGCTGAATCTCCTCTTGTAGGGTTTTGGTTGCGTACTGACGTGTGCAAAATTCGGTGAGCCATTCTGAGAGAAAGACTGGGGGACGTGGGGATGGCGGGGAAGGGGGTGTAGCCCTTCTAGATGTTAGTAAACCTGGCTGCTTGCAGAGGATTAACAGGAAATCATGAATAAAATCATTAGGATTTGATAACGGCTTTTTCTCAGAGACAAAGATTTTTTTGTCATTATCCCCCGCCAAAAGAGTGGGGGATGAAGGTCATTAAAGTAACATGTTATTAGTCTTCTACTCTTAAAACAGGTAAAAGACAAACGTTCTTAACCTCTCCCTCGCCTCAGGACCTCTGTGCAGTGTTTTTTTTTGTTTGTTTGTTTTTTTGCCGTTCTGGCGTTTTTCCAGCAGGCAATACTCTAATACCTCCTACTTAATCCCCAATTTTCTTTTAAACATCAGATATTGGATAGGCTGGAACCTCATTTAAGCAGTGAAGGACTCTGGCGCTCTGTGGCTGGAACTAGCCAAGGAGAGAAATATTTTTTTTTTTTTATTAATAATTTTATTTTTTATAAACATATATATATATTTTTTTTTTCCCACCAGGGGTACAGGTCTGTGAATCTCCACGTTTACAAACTTCACAGCACTCACCATAGCACATACCCTACCCAATGTCCATAACCCCCCCCAACCCCCCTCTGCCCAACAACCCTCAGTTTGTTTTGTGAGATTAAGAGTCACTTATGGTTTGTCTCCCTCCCAATCCCAACTTGTTTCATTTACTCTTCTCCTACCCCATTAACCCCTCATGTTGCATCTCCTCTCCCTCATATCAGGGAGATCATATGATAGTTGTCTTTCTCTGACTGACTTATTTCGCTAAGCATGATACCCTCTAGTTCCATCCACGTCGTCGCAAATGGCAAGATTTCATTTCTTTTGATGGCTGCATAGTATTCCATTGTATATATATACCACATCTTCTTTATCCATTCGTCTGTTGATGGACATCTAGGTTCTTTCCATAGTTTGGCTATTGTAGACATTGCTGCTATAAACATTCGGGTGCACGTGCCCCTTCGGATCACTACGTTTGTATCTTTAGGGTAAATACCCAGCAGTGCAATTGCTGGGTCATAGGGTAGTTCTATTTTCAACATTTTGAGGAACCTCCATGCTGTTTTCCAGAGTGGTTGCACCAGCTTGCATTCCCACCAACAGTGTAGGAGGGTTCCCCTCTAGGAGAGAAATATTTTTGATGCAAAAGAATAATTCAGTAAAGGAGGTAATGAAGGAGATTTAAACCTTTCACAAACACATCAGTGGGCAAATAAAGCTCATTGCTCTCAGTTCAGGGTCATGGCTGAATGAAATGTTGTAAAAGTGGGGGGAAAAAAAACACCCAACTGTACAAATGGGTCAAAAATCTCCATGGGGCTCAGCCAAGCCTGACAATTTAGAATTTGACAAACCTGCAGAAAAAAAATTTTTTTTTTCCCTTTAATATGAGAAAACCCCTCTGGAATAAAGCACTGAATTTTTATGTTATTTTTTCCACTTATGTGCACTTACACGGTCTTAGGGAAAAATCTGACTTTGAGCTGAAATTTTGCTTCTCCAATTACAGCTCAGGAGATCTCTTTCATACACATTCTCGGCCAGAGGCCTTATGTTGTCGCATAAGCCGGCGTGAAGGGTTTGGGTAATGGAGAAACGCAGTAGTGAGAGCAGAGCTGTAAGATTTGGGCATTCATGGTGACAGTCCGTCTGTTACAGTCCTGCGATGTGCCTGGCCCACAGGCACAGAGGTGACCAGCCACCTGCTGGAGAGATCCCGGCTCTGACACGTTTGTCCACTGAGCCCGTAGCCCGGCTGAGGAGGTTACGCTGGAAAGGAGCGTGTGTTAAGTGCTGAGAGAGGTCTCTTGGACCATTCTTCCCTCTGTGTGTCCTCAAAGAGCATTTAAAGCAGGTCTTGGGAAAATCAGGGTATCGCGCACTTATCCCACAGGATGTGTGTCTCATGGGAGGTCTCCACCAGGAGCCTTCAGTAAAAAGAAAAACTGCGCTAGTGAAGATGTGACGAGAACCAGGAAAGACCTCTGTTACGTTTCCCCATCAGATGGAGGAAAGCCCCATATCACATCCCCGCCAGGTGGACTTCCAAGCACCGTCCGAACATTGTCAGGGCCCGTTTTCCAGTACCACAAGGAATCTGCCTTCTCGTTGGGTAGCCTCAGCTATGAGGAATTCCTCCTGGGGTGGAGCCAGACCTTGAGTCTCCAGAAGCGGACTTCCACGCTCTCTAGGAAAACATGCAGCACATCTGTGACATGCAACAGCCTTTCAGCCATGGTGTCTCATTCAGTGACTTCTTCCCAAGCGAAGTCTGGCGATTTCCTCAGCCCAGTGACTGTACCCTAAGTCTGCTGAGATTTAGTAAGGAGGAATGGAAATCTGGTAGAAATGTCTCTCTGAGTCTCTCTCTCTCGCTCATTCTTTCATCCTTGCCTCCCAACACTATTATAATTTATTTCTGAACTTTCAAAGGATAAGTTACAGGCATTCATATGCTCCAATTATGAATTTCCTAAACATAAGGATTTTCTTTTCCATAAGCACAGTTTACCAGAACTTAATATATATTGATATAATACTATTAGTTTATTTGTAGACTTTATTCAAATTTTACCGACTGTTTCACTAATGACTTTTGTAGCCAAGGACAAAACTGTTTCCTGGCCCAGGATCTAAATTGCAGTTTTGCATTGTACTTACATGTTATATAAATCCTTTAGCTCCCCCCTCCCCTCCCCTCCCCTCCCCTCCTCTCCTCTCCTCTCTTCTTCCCTCTCTCCTTCCCCTCCCCCCCTTTTTTTCCCTTACCTTGACATCTTTGAAGTGTTATCAGTCAGATGACTGGTAGCATGCCCTCATTTTGGGTTTGCTGATTTTCCTCATGGTTAAATTCCAGCTGTGCATTTTGGCCATGAAGACCATAGAAGTGATGCTGTGTGCTTCTCCATGTGATGCACAAGGTGATGTTCACTTTGATCACTTGAGTAAGGTGGCGTCTGCCCGTTTTCTCCAGTGCAAAGTTATTAGTATCCGTTTACGATGAGTGTCTCACGGGAGGTGCGCCGGACATGCCCAGACGGGTGCGGCGGGAGGAGCCCATGATTTGACATCCCTTTTCCACTGGTTTCAGAGTCCAACAGCCGCAGGGCCGTGAACAGAGGCTACGTCGCCAGCTTGCTCAGGCTGCATCTGGACTGGCACCACCGGGACACCGCCAATGCCCACGTGTGGATCCGCCGGGCGCTGCTGCTCTGCCTCAGGCACATTGCCAACCTCCGGTCTGGCAGGGAGGCCTTCCTGGCAGCCCAGGGCATGGAGATCCTCTTCAGCTCCGCCCAGGTAATTAGCCCTGGGGTCACCTCTGCAGGTGGGTGACACCTGGATGGAACACAGGTGCGAGACACTCAGTACCTCTCTTGCTGCCTGCTGTGGGCAGAGGCTCTGGATTCAGCCCCTCATCCGCTCATTCACTCCCGCACCGGTGGACTCATTCATTCCGTTACGTGTGTATTGGCTGCGCTGTGCAGTGCGGTGTCAGGACAGTTCCCGGCCCTCGAGCTCGACACTTGTGCAACTTTGAGACCCTCTGGGTCTCAGCTTTCTTCTTTGAAACGAGGGAAATACTCAAGCCTGGCTTGCGGCGCGGCCTGATTACGTTAACGTAGAGATGTGTTGGATTTAATGGAGTGCTGGCCGTGACTTGGCTGGTTTAGGAGCGTGAGCGGTTGCTGGAATTACTAGCACTGTGGAATCTGGAGGTGAATGCGACAAGCAAGACCCCGGATCTTGTGGGGTAAACATTCTAGCAGGAGAGCCAGACACTAAGGAGGCAGCAAATTCAACGAGGAGGGTCATTTCGTATTGCTCCCTGATATCAATTAAGTCAGGCCATCCGCGGTGACTCCCCAAGGTGGAGGGAGCACGTGTTCTGCGGGAGGGGCCGAGTCCTCGCTGAGCAGGTGCCACCTAAGCTGAGACCTGAATTATTGGAAAGGCCGGTCCTGCCAGGTTCAAGAGGAACAGCATCCCAGGCAAAGGGGAGCACCTGCGCGGGCTGGGACTGCTCGGTACCCCAGTGGGATATGTAGTCTCTGGTTTCCTGGATTTCAGCCCTTACAACGAAGTCCTTAAATGCACTTGCTTAGGACTAATTTAAACATCACAATGCGAGGCTACATGCTCCCTCTCTATGGAGGAGGAGAAGGCTTCCTGAATATCCCTCATCTGCTCACTCCCCTTCCCTGGGGCTAGGGGCCAGCAGCCCTGCTTGATGCGCATTGAGGCATGGAGCTCCCTGCTGTCTTCCCATTAGCTCCTCTTCTCTGCACCCTCTTCCTTGGTCTCCTCACTCCTCTCGGGACACCCTCCCCTTTTTCTGTACCTGCACACATCCGAGGCAGGGAAGCACTCGAGAGTGCTGTCTTCCAACCGTGGCATCTGCAGACTTTGCTATTAAAACAGCATCCCCCTCTCCCCTGCGTCTGGACAATAACGTCGTCCTGGCCTGCAAACTGGCACCTGCCTTCTCGTCTGCTGTCACCCGTGGGCTTCTTTCCATCAGCGCAGCTTTCGCAGCCTCTCTGTCATGAACGAGCTGCACGGAACCTTCCTTTTCTCTGGACGAAGCCGTGCTTGGAATGTCTCCAAGCGTCACCGTACTTTGTAAGCTGTGCCCCCCCCCAAATCTCGAGTGAGACACCCCCGCCGCCCCTACTGCTGATGCCTAGCAACCCCCGACTCCAGCTCCTGCGCTCCAGCCAAGTCCTCTGCCTCCTTTGGCTCTTTCTCTGCTCTGGGTTAGGAGGAATTAAAAGGGCAGGAAAGGAAGAAAACAGCCCTGTAGTACGTATCTGTGAGAGGGAGGGGGTGCAGAACGTAGCAAGAGAAGCACAGACACGAAAGGGCCCATGAGCCTGGAAACAGGGTGTACGTAAGATCTGTCTACACGTCTCAGGCTTGCTCTTTCTCCTGGTGCCGTAGACTACTGTCTGGGTCCCCCAAACCCATGTGCCGAATCCCTACTGCCCAAAGTGATGGCATGGGGGAGATGGGGCCTTTGGGAGGGGTGAGGTCATGAGGGTGCAGCCCCCAGGAATGGGATGTGTGCCCTTACTAAGAGAGGCCCCTGACAGCTCCCTGGTCCTCACTGCCTGTGAGAACTCGGCCATCTCCACCAGAAGGCAGGTTCTCCCCAGACAGGGAACCTGCTGGTGCCTGAACCTAGACCTCAGCCTCCAGAGCCGCGAGAAACAAGTGTGGACTGTTTCCAGCCCCGGGTCTGTGGTGTCTTTCCAGGGCAGAGCGGGCTGAGACAGCCGCACCCTGCCCCGAAGGCCTCGCTCTTTGGCTGATCTGAATCCGTCCTGTCCATCCCTGGAAACCATGACTGCAGTTCATCTCCAGCAGTTCTGAGTGAGCTCTGAGTGTTTCTAGGCAATCGTCACAGCCAAGAGTGGCTGGAGGAACCTGGGAGTCTCCTGGGGCTGCCAGAACGGAGCACCACAAACCAGAGATTCATTCTTTCCCAGGCCTGGGAGCCGGAGTCCCAAAGCAAGGTGGCGGCAGGGCTGGTTCCTTCTGGGGCCACGGAGCGGGGGATCCTGCCCCAGGCTCTCTGGTAGGTCCTGCTCGCAGATTCTGCTGGTGCCTCTCAGCCTGTTGGAGCGGCCCCTCATCTCTGCCTCCAGCTTCACAGGACGTTCTCCCTGGGTGCAAGTCTGTGTCCAAATGCCCCCTTTTTCAAGGACCCCAGTCCTATGGGAGTAGAGCCCACCCTAATGGCCTCACTTTAATTTTTTTCCTTTCATCTTTTGTTTTAAGTTTTTATTTCAATTCCAGTTAGTTAACATACAGTGTAATACTGGTTTCAGGTGCACCATATAGTGATTTCCACACGTCACCGGGTGCTCGTCACATGTTCACTCCTTAATCCCCTTCACCTGTTTCCCCTCCTCCACCCACCTCTCCTCTGGCGACAAGCAGTGTATCCTCTACAGTTAGGAGTCTGGTTCTGCAAACAGAATTCTATTTTATTTTAATATTTTTATTTTGTTTTATTTTATTTTAATATTTTTATTTTGTTTTATTTTATTTATTTTAGAAGATTTTATTTATTTAGAAAGAGAGAGAGAGAATCTCAAGCCAACTCCACCCTGAGTATAGAGCCCATTGTGGAGCTCAGTGCAGGGGCTTGATCTCAGGACCCTGAGATCATGACCTGAGTGGAAATCAAGAGTCGGACCCTTAACCGACTGAGCCACCCCTCTACCCAGGCAAGCAGGATTTTACAAGCAGTTCTCGGCAGGTCAGTGAAGACCTGGGCTGTTCAGTAAATGAATTCACAGCAAGCTCCCAGCCTCCAGTTTCTTACGGGAATGGACACAGGATATGAACGGAGGCCGAACCAAGCCTATGTGCCAGGCTGCTCTAGCCTGTGGGGCCTCTGCACCCGGGCTGGGCGCCGGAAGCCCAGCACTGCTGTAGCTGTACTGATTCGAACTGCCCATCAGTCCTCCCCTTTCTGCCAAGGAAGGGACTGCTGTCCTTGGATGGCCAACAAGGGAACCTGGGATCTAGTCTATGTCATTGTGGTGGCTGTTTGCAAATTCCAATGATGATGATGCTGGTGTGCCCATAATAGCAAAAGACGAGGAAGAGACAGAATCAGAGGGATGAGGAGGAGAGGGAAGGGGAGGGGGGAGGAGAGAGGGGAAGAAGAAGAGGAGGACAGAACTCTCTAGACCATGAAAAGAAATTCTGATTTCATTTCTATCAGGTTTGAAGCAGGGGAGTGACGTGATACGATGTATGCTTTTTGTTTTTTTAATTGTGATAAAATCTGTACGACATAAAGTTGGCCATCTTGGCCATTTTCAAGTGTACAGTTTGGTTGTATTAAGTGCACCCACACTGTTGTATAACCGATCTCCAGATCTCTTTTCATCTTGCAAAACCGAAACTCTATACCCATTAAACCGATTTATGACCTTGAAGGACCATTCCGGCTGCCATTTGGACAGGAGGGTGTCCGAGGGCACGGAAAGAAGGAGGGGGACGGGGGTTAGCTCAGGCAGAGACGCGGATGGCTTTGGCTAGTTGGGAGGAGAACTGGAACTTAAATCAAGGCTTTCTGGATTTTTCCACTAAAGTGTCTCATTTTCTTATTGTGAAAGTTATTACTAGGGCTCTGTGCTGAGTAGCAGTGGCCTTCTGGGATCTCCTTTTGCATTCTTAGGAGATTTTATGAGCTTCGTGCTGCCTGTTGACATCTTGCTAGCGACCACTTACTGTGCAGTTTTGGACAGGCACTGCCTATTTTAACTCTAATTCACACACCTCCTTATGACAGAAGTTCTGTTAGTATCTCTGCTCTACAGACGAGGGAAGTATAGCACAGAGGGGGTGTAGCAGCTTGCCAGGGTGAAGCTGTTCGTGTTCATGGGCCGGGACTTGAATCCGGGTGGTCTTGCTCCAGGATTTGAGCCGAGTGCTATACAGCAACCCCCCACCCCCTGCCTGCCAAGACCCCCAGTGGATGCCTGAAACTCTGGAGAGTACCAAACCCATATCCACTCTGTTTTTTTCCTGTGCAGTCATGCCCGTGATAAAATTAATTTATAAATTAAGCACAGCAAGAGATTAGCACCAGCAACAATTATAAAATAGAACAATTATAGCAATATGCTATTGTAAAAATTGTGAGGATATGGTCCCTCCCTCTTGAGATACCTTTCTGTGCTGTCCTCACCCTTCTTGGGATGATATGAGATGATAAACTGCCCACGTGGTGAGATGAAGTGAGGCACTGGGACGTAGCGTTAGGCGGTCGACCTTCTGACGATACTGCAGAAAGAGCGTCGTCTGCTTCCAGACTGGGCTTGACCGCAGCCACCTCAGATCTGGGAATCACAGAACCTCGATAAGGAGATAAGGAGCTACTTTCCTCTCGCTTGCCCGCATCTCACAGAAGTAGTGTATTTATTATTCCAAAGCTAATTCAGAGACGTTAAGTGTGAATTGAATATGGTAAGCGCTGTCATATTTCATCATCTTTTCCAAGTAGCAGGTGTATTATTGGAAGTGATGGGGAAAGTGAGCGAGAAATTTTCACCTTTGCCCCCAATTCTGAGACAGTTGTTCCCAGGGATCCTGTTTCTTGGGGTTTCGTCATCTTTGATGCAGAGCCGCCCAGGTGCCAACCCTGGGATAGCAGGAGGCTGAGAGCGAGGCCCCCTTAAATTTTGCATCCAGAGGGCATCCCATGGGCCACCTCCCGCCCTGCCTTGGGGGCCGGAAGTACCTGTCCCTTAACACTAGGGAAACCTTGGCAGGTGAATTTGGAAGCAAGGATGATTTTAAAATTCATAAAGGTTTTCCGCAGACTGTGTTTACTACACTGTTTCCCACCAACCTGATTTAGGCAGTCATTCACTAAGATCCTAATACCTTGGTTCTGTTGATTTTATGGTGTGGCCCCACCTATCAGGACAGGTGAACTTGCCTCCATCCTTCCTCTCACTGGCCACCTGCACCATCCCATGCAAAGTAAAACACAGCATTATTGCCACATTCATCAATAACAGTACCAGTGACAATCACAGACACAACTGGCTTCCAAAATGCTGGTAATTTTGACAGTTCCCTGGCTTGTTCCTGGCTCCGTGCTTCCTAAGAATAAAGCTCAGAACCTGACCCGTGATGAGCCATCTACCCTCCCTCTCTCCCTCCCCCAAACTCAGTTCTTGCTTTTTCCAATAACAGTACTTTTCACAAAGCACTAGAAATCATTTGACCAGTCTCAGGGATGAGGTAGCCTTGACTGATTCCTTTTCCATGGAGAGTGTTTCCTGCTGTGGGTTCAGGACACCTGGTGGGAACCATTTGAGCACACCAAAGGGGAAATAGCATTCTTGATTGTGTTAAAACATTCTTGGTTTGAACATTGGGCTAACTGGTTTTTGCTTTTGTTCTTGTTTTTTAATCATTTGGATAGTTTGAAATCATGGCTAAAAGTTTGTTAAATTTTTTCTCCTTTTTTTTTTTTTTTTTTTTTTTTTTTTTAATGTGGAGCTGCTTATAATGTGGGCCTGGAGATACCGTAGTATGGCGTCATCACAGCCCCTCTCCCCTGGGACAAGTGCTCAGCATCCTCCCTGTCTCCTACTATGACTTGTTGGCCTTAGAGCTCACTTGGAACCCCTGGGAATATCAGATTAGAAGCTCACACTTGGCAACTTTCTGCACAAAATCAGTAGACAAAGCATTTAGTAAGAGCCTGAAGAAAATGGCCTAGTTTTGCCAAAGAGTTACCGACTTACCCCCAACCCTCTCTCTCAATTTAGTAAACTTGTTTTTGCATTTCTCAAAGTGTCTGAAAAGAAAGGTCTTGTCAGGTTCCATCAGTATCAAAATGTTACATCTGCAAACCCAATTTTCCTTTGCTTTGGGTAGCTACCAAGAGGGATCAACACCGTGGGCTCTGAGAACAGGCATGTTATTTAATTTAGGTGCTTGGGATTTACTTAGTCTTTTTTTCCAATTTCATATTTTATCTTTTTCCTTTATGGTTTTCTATTCAGGTAATAGCTGAAAGAGAAGAGTAAGCCTTCCATCAGTTTGGCTACTCATTCTCTAATTTAGGCAGTAATTCACAATGACACCATGATGGCTGAAGGAAGTTCCTCCCCCACCCTTTCCTGGGCTATCCTGGACAATGTCTTCCCTTAGCCACAGCATCCCCTGAAAGACTTTTGAGTCTATTTTCGGACTTAATTCCTTCCAATCACATATGAGCTGTGAGAAAGAAAGAAAAATGTTTCAGATGATGCCCTGGGCCAAAGCAGATTTTACATTAGACGGAATTCTCCGTTAGAATGTTCCACATAGACCTTCTCTGTTAAGGATGTTTGCTGTCCACATGTGTAAGCCATGACTGGAACTACCGATCTAATAAGGGCACCCTGGGTAAGGTGTCGGCGTCTGACAGGGTCTTCTCTTTATTCAGAACCGCCTGGACGACAAACGCTTGGAGCCTGTCATCTCCGTCGTGATTCAGATCCTGAGGCAGTGTTACCCAAGGAGCCCGCTTCCCTTGGTCACATCCACCAGCACGTATGCCTTCCCCGTCCCGGGAAGCATCCCCCCTGAGCCTCCGTGTGCTCTAACTGAAGGTAAAGCCAGTGGGCGACGATGAGCTTTCCAGCCAGTCTTGCAGGTTGGCAATATTTCAGAGGGACGTAGATGAAAGTAGCATCAGTGCTTTTGCAGGCTAACCATAAATGTCCAAGAAGCTAATTAGAGAAGTGTATGAAAAAAGCAAGCTTTCCATAGACGGAATGAACAGATACTAAGCTCACTTATTTTGTTCTTAATTATTAACTGTAGCCACTTTGCCCGGTAGCTGTTGAATGCCTGTACAGTCATCTCAGCTAATTAAAAAAAAAAAAAGTATATTCTCGGTCCCATGATTGAGGCTCTCTACTGTACTGACTCACTCTGGAATTAATTTGCCTTAAGGATGAACTTGAAATAAAGCTTTGGCTAGTTACAAGCCCATGCTAGTCACATTACATGCTTGAAAGTATGATTATTTAATCTCCGTGAAGAATTTGGTGTTGAAAGATTCTAATGCCTTTCAACCCTGCCCTCCTTTCATGGAACAGAGTTCCCTTGGCATAATCTTGCCACAATGGCCCTGGACACTTTCTATGGTCTTTTGTTGTAACTAAGTCCTTTCTTATCAAAATTAGGGAGTCAGTCAAGGTGCTGAATTATAGGAAATTTTGCCTGTATGTGATCTCTAAACTTTGGTGATGTTGTTTGAGTAAATAGTTGTAAGTTGGGCAGGGCAACCCAGAATGGTGTTCATGTGTCTTTTTTTTGTTTTCTGTTTTTTTCTTTTAAAGATTTTATATATTTATTTGAGAGAGAGAGAGAGAGAGAGAGTGAGAGAGAGCATGAGAGCTGAGAAGGTCAGAGGGAGAAGCGGGTTCCCCAAGGAGCCAGGAGCCCAATGTGGGACTTGATCCTGGGACTCCAGGATCATGACCCGAGCCGAAGGCAGTTGCCCAGCGAACTGAGCCAACCAGGTGCCCTGTTCATGTGTCCTTTTATTCTGCGCTCACTCTGCCTTCGACGTGGGGCAGTTTAGACTTCATGGGATGGTGCTTCCCCGTGCCTCTGTGTGTATAATTTGCAGGTGCCAATAAGTGTCAGGGTGTTGGGGGACAGTGCACTTGATAATGAGAAAAAGGAAGACTAGCTACTGTGTGGTGAGAACCCAGATCCGAGGCACAGGGGAAGCCGCAACCATTTTCTCCCTCTTTTTCCATGCAGAGGATTTTGAAGATGATGCTGATGAAGAAGTGGATAAAGATTCAGACTCTGAAGATACGAAAGAGCAAGTAGGTACAGCAGCCCTCACTTCCAGGGCATTCCATATTCACGTGGTCCAGAGGGATACACGCCTCTCTGTGTCTAGCTAAGACCAGTGTAACTTGTAAGGAGACACTTCTGTACTTCCACGCCAATGCCTGGCACACAGTGGTGCTCAATAAATGACAGCTACGATTGTCCATTTCCACCCTGGTAGGTCCCGAGCAACGTCTCATTGTAAAGTTGGAGGCCCTCCATTACCGAGGCACTAATGTCTTGTCAGGATGAGCCTCTCGATAGACCCTTCTGGTTGGTATATGTAATCAGTGCGAATGGCATCCAGGCAGAGACCATGGAAACATTTCCTAGGAGATTCTCTCTGGTCTATCTGTGCTTGGATCTCCTGTGGTGTTCACTTCCATTCACCTCCCAGTCTGTGCGAACTGTGCTCACTCAGGTATGTGATGTGTACGCGGGCCAGCAGGGAGGGGTGCTCTTTGGTCTATGTCCCATGATGACCCATGATATGTAGAGCAGAGGTTAGCAAACTTTCTGTAAAAGATCAGACAAGGTTAGTCTAGGCTTTGTGGACCTACAGTCTCAGCCATAATTGCTCAGCGTCACTGTGATCGCACAGAAGCAACTGTAGACAGTAGGTAAGTGGCTGGGCACGGCTGGATTCCAGTAAAACTTTTCTTGATGAGAAACGGGTAATGGGACATAGTCTACTGACTGCACTTCTAGAAAAGGACTTTTGTCATTTCTCTGGATAATTCTTTGCTATGGGCGATTATCCTGTGCATCGTGGGATGGTTGGCAAAGCCCTTGGTTTCTCCTCACCAGATACTGGGAGCACCTACCCTTGGCCTCTCCCTCCCCAGAAAGTCATGAACCAAAAATGTTTCCAGGAATTGCTGAGTGTCCTTTGGTGGGGGGAGCAATGTCACTGTCCCAGAATAATGACAATGTATCTCTGAGTTAGAATTCTGCTTCTGTTTCTGTTGACGGAGATGGATGTGGACCAGCTCTTTCAAATTAGAGCCCCTTAAATTTGTCATCTGCAAAATAAGATGGAGAAGTAGATGCTACTTTTTATAACACTCCTGGAGATGAAACCTGAATTAAAAAAAAAAAAGTCTATCGTCTGTTTATTTGCCTGTCATCATCTATCCATCCATCCATCCATCCACCAACCCACCTCCTCTTTTCCTTCTCTTCCCTCCTTCCTCCCTACCTATCTGGAGAGTTCTCTGGAGTTGAGAGTTCTCTATCATAAGATGGTAGCTGCAGGCTCGTAGAGGCTATGGCTCAGTCTCTAGGTTAAGACTGTAGGTTAAGAGTGCTCAATCTCTAGGATAAGACCGCTATTGACCCTTCAGTGTTCTCAGGGTTTTGTTGATAAATGGAAGCATTTCCGAAGTCATCAGTAGTAATTTGGGTCTTTGCTGTGGCCTGGCAGCACAGGCCTATTGTGTACTCTGAGTTATTTGAATAATACAGTGCTGCGGTGATCATTCGTCAATGACACTTTACCCTACCGTCTTCCTTGCTCTTTGATGACTGGCTGTCTGATGCAGAGTGCCGGTTGCCTCCTGTATCTAATGTGCAGGGACAAGCGGCATGCCTGTGCCTGACTCCGGCCATTTGGAATGGAGTACTCAGGACGGTCTCCTTTTTCCCCACCGCGCTGCAGATGATGGTGGGTTGGGGAGGAGAGAAACCCAAACAAATCAACAAATCCAGCTGGGAAAGCAGCACAGGACAAATCGGTGAGGGCCTGGAAACTATTCATCAAAGTCTTCGGGCCAAAAGGAGAGGATGAGAAGTCAGTGTGTGAGCGTGAGTTGTAGAGAAATGGGGCACATCGGAATCAGGGCTTGGTTCTGGGGTGTTGCAAAAGAGCAAGGGAACTGGCGCTCCAGCAAACTGATTTTCCTTTGTGAACCCAGAAGCATTTGCTGCAAGAAATGTGGGCAAGAAGCCAGGAATATTTGTTTCTGGTCATAGATCTGACCCAGGCTGTTAACTGATGGCCTTTTCATTTGAAAATTCTTAGTTAATAATTGGGCTCAGCTGTTTAGAAAGAATGATTAAAAGGAACTTTTGTAAGGGTCTTGAGAATGGAAAGTTGGGTGCTTTTCTCTGAAAACTCAACGTCAACATAAGAAAAGAGAAACTTACAAGAAGTACAGACCAGATGTTGGCTATGTTTTTTTTTTTTCTTTTAATATATATTTTTTATTCTTCACAAACACAACTGTTAGACTTGGACAAGCTCTGAAGAAGAGGAGGATAAACAGAGTGACCTCAAGCTCTCCTCTTCTTTGCTTCCTCTTTCCTTCCTTTTTAGTTTTTTGTTTCTTGCAGGTACTTCCTTGGCCGTGATCCATGTAAGAGGCTACAGGCTAAGTTCCTGGGGATGGTAATATGATAGAACAGCAAACGAGACATAGATTTTTATCTTCAAAGAGTTTGCAGTCTAGTGAACTTGGAGATTGTCCCTACCAGAGTTCAAGTCACCATCTTTGAAAGGGTGGTCAGCTCAAGTGTAAGCCTGGGGAAAGTCAATCATATTGGAAGGGTCCAATCTGAGGACGAAGGACCAGAAAGCATGATCTGGATTATTTGGGTCCCAGAATCCTAAATGATGAACCCTCTCGGGGGTTGCTGTGAGAACACGGAGGCAGGCCCATCGCTGAATAAGTATAAGTGGCCTTTACAAGAAATACAGAAGGAGGGGAGAACCCACCTGAGTGCCTAGATACTCAGAGACCAAGATACAAAGCTTTGGGGGACCATAGATGGTCTCTGTTACCACTACTCTACTTCGCTGTTATACTGAGACACCAACCATGGAAGGATGTGGCTGTGTTCCAGTAAAACTTTATTTACAAAAAACCAACAGTTGCTTATAGTTAGTTACCTCCTGCTCTCAAGCTAGGTAGGTCTCCCAACTCCATGTAGAATGCATTAGGCAACACCTCATGGGCTACACGACACTCCTTATTCCAGACATGCCAGCCTTACTCGCTAGTGGTGCCAGATTGGGTTTCCATTGGTACCACTTCCCACAACTTCCCACAACCCACTGCCCCTTTCAATATATCCATGGCATTTATCACCATTGGAAATTACCTTCTTCATTTGTTTGCTGTCTTCCTTCTCTCCCCAGAAGGCAGATTCCACAGGAACATCGACTTTTGTCTGTTCCATTACCACTAACTCTTCAGTACCCAGAATGGTACCTGCTCATAGTAGGTGCTCATTAAATGTTTTTGAGAAGACCAAGGGACATAAATGGAAAGGGGGATAGAAGAATAGGTGCAGTGATTGTCATTCTGTGGATGCTGGCGGTGGCAAGACACAGAATTCTTTCATATCGCACTTTACTAATTTTTATATAAATTCGTTATTTACGGTGAGGATTGATAAATCCTGAAATGGATGCTGAGGAAATATGTATACATTCTTTCTTTTCTTTTTTTTTTAAGATTTTATTTATTTATTTGACAGATCACAAGTAGGCAGAGAAGCAGGCAGAGGGAGAGGGGGAACCTGGCTCCCCGCTGAGCAGAGAGCCTGGTGCGGGGCTTGATCCCAGGACCCTGAGATCATGACCTGAGCCGAAAGCAGAAGCTTAACCCACTGAGCCACCCAGGCGCCCCTACATTCTTTCTTTTCATTAAGAAGTATACAACCTGTCATCTTGAATTCTCCTTAGCATAGGCTAGCACTATAATTTGGAATCAAGGAAACCATGTCCCAAGTTTCTGAAAATTTGCACATGTAGTAGCTTGACTTGATGCTTCTCAGGGTAGCTGTCTTGAGTGTAATATATATATGTCTATATCTATAAATACAGATACAGATATAGACACATAGATATATATTTAGATATTATATATATATCTCTATATTCCATTATAGGATGATGACTTGGAAACAGATGTGAACAAGCTGAGAACCAAACCTGGTCTTGACCGACCCGAAGAAGAGCTGAGGCAGTATGAGGCCATGTGTCTGGAGCTCTCCTGCAGCTTCGAGGTAGGGCATATGCCGTGGTTCTGCTCCCTGGTCATGCATGGTGGGTTCTTAGCAGAACCTGAGAGGCCAAGCAGGAGGTCTCCAGATGGAGAGCGTTGCTTATCCTTAGCAATCTGCTTCTGGGGTCTTTCTGAGAGTGAAGCAGAAGGCTAAGCAAAATGTGAAAAAGGGGGCCGAGCTGGATGCAGGCAAGGCACCTGGCACCGAGATGGGCCTAGGATGACCGTGCGCACCACCACCTATTGTCCGGAGGACAAAGTGCCTTGTCCTCACGTCCTGAAAGTGCACTGAAAATTCTCGGTGATTTCTTGTTCCCCTGCACGATGGGAAAGTTGTCCTGGATGGCTTTCTGAAAGTGGCCTGTCTGATTCCAGGGTTTTTTGAGTAGAAACAAATTGAGAACCTTCCACCTGGTGAGGTAGTGGCTAGTTGCTGCTCCCACTACGGTTGCTGTTGTCAAGATTTTAGACCTGCCTTTGGATCTCTATTATTTTCTTATGGCTCTTAGGATAGCATGAATTTGCCCACCTCTAAGCATACCAGCTAAATCCCACGGAGAAGGGAAGCAGCATATTCTATTTTAAACCAGAAAGCCGAAGGGGATCAGTAGGTAAAAATTTCAGCAAAGAAAATTTCAGTCCAGTGTAAGGAATACTTAAAAAAACAACAACAACAACAATCAGAATGGTCCTGAAGTGAAAGGTGCTACCTTGGGGTGTAATGAAAATAATGTAAATAAGTTTGTAACCAGGCTGTAAGTTTTGGGGATGTTCCAGAGGGCATTTGTGTGCTGTATAGAATTACCCTAGACCCACCCAATGCCCCTTCCAAACATGAGTTTCTGTGATTCTCCCATTTCTTTGATTCTTGAAGCTAGCCTTTTCTTGTCTGACCTTGGAAAAAGCTTCTTAATTCACAGGATTTAAGCTTAACTCTGTGCCCAGAGAGTGAGGACAGAGGTCACGTTGTATTTTCTATCAGGAAGGAAACACTGACATATTCTTTTTCATTTTAAACCTGAAGGAACTTGAGTCTAAACCTGGAGATAATTTGAACTTTGAAGAGACTCAGGATGCCGAGCACTACCACATTCCGCCTGTGACCTCCGCAAAGCAGCATTATTTGACTAAGGACCAAAGCTTCTGGGGGCAAGAAAGAGAAGACATGGTCCAGACATCTCTTCTGAGCATGGTGAAGATGGGAAGGTCCACCATGCATCCAGCCTCCAAAAGAGGCCCTGGGATGAATGCATACCAAAATATGCAGTCAAATGGTCTTGGGATAGATTCTTCTCGAAGAGAAGTCCCTGACATTCAAGCTTCCCTTAAACAGGAATCTTGGGACATAGACGTGATTTCCTGCCCAATGATGAGTGTCTCCCTCTCCAATTCTGCTAGGCCTACAGAAACTGCTGAAGTAATAGATAAGCTTCTGCAGACACATCCCAAGCATATCCCCTTCCATGACCCCCATCTTTATATGGCCAAAGCCAGAAGAACCAGATCTGTGGCTGACTTCAAGAGGATGGCATTTCCTGACCTCTGGGGTCACCGTCCACCTCCCTCTGCTCAGTCCATGCTGGAACGCAAATGTGGAGTCCAGAGGTGATATTGGTGCTGATTTGGAAGCTGTATTTTTCTCTTTAATATTTTAATCGGCAGAATGGTTTGTGTAGAGAGTTCTGCTATCTTTGGAAAAATGAGAATCAGTCAGGAGCATGTTCAAATCCTTTGGGAAGCTTTTGCCAAACGCAGAAGCTTGCCTTCCTCCCTGGACATATCAGAACCACGTGTGGGATAGTGGCAGGCAGGTGTTAACAGAAAAAGAATCCCTTTGATGATTCTAATGCAATCCTGTATCCCAGAATGCTCTGCGGATCATAACAGGGAAAGACAACCCAGTTTGTCCAAATCCTGGGATTATTCCTCAAAGGAAGGTTCTCAGAAACAAACAAAACAAAAACAAACAAACAAAAAAAACCAAAACCAGTGTGGATTATTTGGGATCTCTCTCTCTCTTTTTTAAATTCACTGTAAATTGGTATTGGATCTCTTGTTGAGGAAAGTTGGTGGCGTACCCCTATCTCACAGTCTCAACCTTACAAAACCTGGCTTGGCTGGGAGAGTAGTTCTGCTATAGCACTGAGGACTGGAAGGAAAATATGCATTCTCTAGGACAGAAACTTTAGTGGGAGGTTACTCCCAGAATGATGGAAAGGGAGCTTTGCCTTTGGATCAACATCGCGAGATTAAAATGTAAATGGCTAAAGCCAAGGAAAAATGATTTTCCCTGGAAAACAAACAGACAGACATTGACTATGCATATGTTAAGTCAACGGGGCCAAGTGTGCGCACCAGAAAGTTTCAGGAACTTATTTCATCAGCAAGTAACTGCTCGGGCTTAGGCTCCTGCTGACAGTTCTGACCTTACCCTTTGCCAGGCTCAAGTTCCTGAGAGCCACAGCACAGGGTCTGGCCCAGCGACACCTCCCCCCTTGAGAGAACATCTCCCCCTTGAGCCCAGGCCTCATGTCTACGTCCTCTCTCCTCCTCTCACTCCACCCAAAAAGCACGGATTAGAGATTCAGGCCCATGATCCCTTGGGCTTCCTTCTGTCCTCTTACTTAAACTTCCTGACACGGGTATTTTTCAGACAGAAGATTGATCTTAATTTTCTGGGGATGACAGAACCCAAGGACTATAAATGACTCAAGAGTTCAGAGGCTTCCTGAAGCCTCGCAGGCCTTGAGGATGCTAACAGTCAACAATCCTAAAGTTTCCCTCAAAAATCGTCTCTGTGCAAAGGACGCTGTTACTCTCACAGCCAAGACCTTTGGAGCCCATTAGTGCAAGTGCTCTTGAAAAAAATTCCCCCTCAAGTCACCAATCTTCCAACTAAAACTCTGGAATCAGTCCGTTCTCCATTCCTGCTGTAGTTTCAGTTTTTGATAAGGAGGAAAGGAGGGCAAGGCTGTGCTTTACCCCTGGGTTGGGGCATTATTAATTTTTTCGTTCATAATTCTCTGATGACTCTCAAGGCCCTTCCCGGATGGCTGTAGGATGGACGGGGCAAGGAGTGAGAGCCAACCCTTCAAATGTTTCCAATTTTCCTTTCCAGGATCAAGATATTTGAGGATGTCCGGAGGCTCATTCAGCCAAGTGATGTTATAAATAAAGTTGTCTTCAGCTTAGATGAGCCTTGGTAGGTGGTCTTGAGTGTTCGTGGAATGTGGAAGATGTGTGTGTGGGGGGGTAGTATAGAATACCCTCTTAATGACACGAGAACAAGCGTGTTTGATGTTAGCAATCCATCCCTTCTCCCCGAAACACGGTCAGAATTCATGTTGGAAGCTGTGAGAAAAAGCTTATCTCTCAGAAATGTCAGGCTATGCCCAAGAATAGCAGTAACGCATGTGTTCACATGTTTCCTATTTCATTACAGGCCTTTGCAAGACACCGCTTCCGACTGCTTGCGGTTCTCCTCCAAGTTCGAGTCAGGAAATCTGCGCAAAGCCATCCGAGTGCGCGAGTGAGTACGGGAACCCAAAAGGTAGCTCCTGGCAGCTTAAGGGAGCGGGTTGTGCCTCTCTCCTCCCTGTTCTCTGTACAGAGGTCTCGCATGGGTCCTTTGAAAACAGTCCTGGCGGGAGTGTTTATACCCGGGAGAGGTGGCAAACAGGGCACAGGAAAGCTTGCCCCTCAGTCCGTTGCTAAACGTCTGCGGGCTCACCACTAGGGGGCTCACTGGCTGATGTCGCTGCCAGGAGGCTACTAGAGGTGAGGGTTATGAATTCACCTGTGTTGCAGATAACGGCTCCATCCATGGGTATGGGAGTCCTTTGACTGGGATGTTGGTACCTACGTTGATGTCGGGGCTTGTTATGTTCACACAGCAGGGTACGTGGGGCCCCCTGGTCCTGTATGTTTTCACGTCCGTTGCTCCCATAACTGTGGACGTAGGTGGCAGGAACGTTGGGCTCCCCGTGGAGAGGCGTGTTAATCTTCGTTCAAGGGCATGTGTAGTGCCATGCCTCTCTGCCACGATCTCTCAATCAGCTTCTATTACTAGACCAGCGTTTCACAGGCAAGGGGAGGCTAGGGCTGTACAAACTACACAGAGGGAGAGGACACAAAGCAAAAACTTCCGGCGCAGAAGAGAGGACTATGGTATCATTCTTCCCTTGATACCAGTGTGAACTCTATTTGTTGTATGCCAGAAGTCAGGATTTGTCTCCATCTTCTATGGGTGAACTCCTGAAGACAGCAGTCCGGGACAGTTAATGGTGTGGGGGGTCACACACTCTGGAATCAGAATGCCGGGGCCACCTCACCCCTATCCACCAGGAGACTTCGAGCAATTCCCTGACTCTACTCCCTGCCTTTTCTTCCTCACCCAGAAAATGGGGACAGTGATGGCACCCACATCATAGGGATTTTTTTTTTTTTTTTTTTTTTTTAATGTGAGTTAGCTAAAAATACGTCACGCTCTCAGAATAGTGCCCGGCACTCAGTCAGCATGAGCCTGTCCTCAGGGCTGCATATTGGCCGTATGCAGTGCAGATACTCAGCTAGAACAGCCCGTTTTGTAGCTATCTGAGGAGTCATTTTTGAAATTCTTTTTTGGTGGGGGAGGGCAGATGAGCAGTGTTCCTTTTCTGTTGTTTGTAAATGAACTATTTCAAGGAAGCCTGACATATTAAACAAATACAGGTTGAGCTACGCGGGCTGAAGAGAGAAAGGCAGTTCTGTTAACATTGCTTCTCAGCCTTCTTCTCTCTCTCTTGCCAGCTCAGCTTCTACATCCTGTGGTAGTGCCTGCTTTCATTACTCCGTTTCTCTCTATATCATGCTTAAGGGATCCGGGAGAGAACACCTAAGCTGGAGTCTCCTGGGGTTAGGGGACAGTGGTCAGTCCATGATGTGTCTGCCCTGCTGGTCTTGCTCTGATCTCTCTTCAGATATCCACCTTTGCCAGAGGGTAGAACCGTAAACCAATTAGTTATGGTCTGGGTGATGGAGTCAGAGGGTGGAAAACAAACCTAGGTATAGGCAAGGAGTTTTGATGATCAGTTTTTGGAGAGGATGGTGGGTGTAGCAGACCATTTGAGGGCTGTAGTCTTTGTGGATTTGTTCTTATGAGTGTTGCTTCTTGGATTTTGCTTCATTTGTCATATGTTGGGCTCGATGGTTCTAGGGAGATGCTTAGAGTGATGGTCTGAGCAGTGGGTCTCCATCGGGGAGCTCTGTTCTGCTCTGATATGCCTTCTGCAAAGCTCCCCTCTTCCAGAAATCTCACTGTACCACTTCTCAGGGGTCCAGAGTGGCAGAGTGTGAACGGATTGGGGCAAACACATTACCCTTTCTAGAGGAGCAGCTCAGAGAACATGGCACGGGGATGGAGCAAGCAATCATATTTTTGAACGAAGTCAAAACTGTATTGTTAATTTTGTTGCTACAGCTCAAAAAATGATTAGCTTTGCAGATAGTAACTGAGAGGGGACATGCAGGAGTCTCCTGGGGCACTGGAACTGTTCTATATCTTGATCTGGGTAATTGCCAAACAGGAGTGTCCAGATGAAATTATTGAAAGTCATTGAGTTGTGCACTTAAATTTTGTGCACTTTACTGCATGTAAGTTAAATCAATTAAAAAGGGACACAATGCACACACAACTCCTGCACTGCTAGCCTAATTCATGTTTGCTGCGTTGCTGGGGGCTTACCTGTATGATACTGCTTAATCTTTTCAAACAGCACTGCAAGTTTAGGCACTGTTTCTATTTTCCATATGAGGAGACCCAGGCTCAAAAGTAAGGTGCAGCATCAAATAGGGATGACCTACGCAACCAGATGTGATTGAATTTTCTCTGGGATAGAGCGCAGTTGCATTTTTCCTGTTAGAGAGTTTCATTATTAATTTATTAAATCACAGTTTAATAAAAAGATATGCTGTGATTGTGTAACTGATTCTCCTAATACCAAGAACCTGCTCCCCTGTCCCCACATCTCTACAGCCCCCAGTTTTGTGAGATGAGAACAATCACTGTAACTTGCCAACCTGCTGAGATTCCGGGTCTTAGATCTGTCCTCTGGAAACTGATACGTGTGACTTCTCAGTGCTGGATGTTTCCTTAAAGACTCGTAGCCCTCCAACCTTGCTTCTGACTTTGCAGGCGGGAGTACGACTTGCTGGTCAACACCGATGTGAACAGCAGCCAGCACCAGCAGTGGTTCTACTTCCAGGTGAGCGGCATGAGGGCGGCCGTCCCTTACCGCTTCAACGTCATCAACTGTGAGAAGCCCAACAGCCAGTTTAATTACGGTATGAGATCTTGGGCTAATGCCCTAAATCTTCTAGACCTTCCAGAAGGTCTAGAAGCTAGACCTTCCAGGTGGTCTAGAAGTAGACCTTCTGGCTAACATCAGAAATGGCGCCCCTCTGTGATTGATTGGCTTACTACTGGAAGCCCTTTTCGGGTTCCCAAAGAGTTCGATGTTGGGCAGAATGTTTCTTGTCACCATGTGTGGCAAGATGGTGGCCAACCTGTGGCAGACTGCCACCAGGGAAGGGAAGCTGGAAGTCCTCACTCTGCGATGGAATGTTAACACCATGCCATCCATTCCACTGCTTCCTGACTGCCTTGCCCCCACCTTGAACTTTTGGAGGTCCATGAGAACCTCTCATTTATTCCTTCTCTTTATGCCCTAAATCCCAAAGCAGCAAATATATTGACCTGTTTGTCCGAGAAAGGAAAACAGCACAATCCAATTGGATGACACTGATTTGCACTCTCAGAAAATAAGGGGGAAGTTCAAATTCTCCTGGACACTTTTCAGCCATTTTGCAGGAGAAATTCCAGGGACAAAGTGACCGGCAGCCCACATTTACTTTGAAATTCTGCATCGCATCCGATTCAGCAAATTACTGCTGGATCGTATACTAATTCATTGAGTGGCTTTGAGTAAGGAATGAATATTCTGGTATCTCCAGGTCTCTATTTTGTAGCGACTAAATAGAATCTTCCTGGTGTAGAAAGAGAAGGTATGAACCCTGAGTCTTGTATTTGCTCCATGTGGCTGCTGTAACAAATTGTCACAAACTTGGTGACTTAAAACAAGACAGATTTACTCTCTTACAATTCTAGTGTCTACAAGTCCAAAATCAGTTTCAGTTTCACTGGGTTACAGGGAAGGTGCTAGAAAGGCCATGACCACTGGAGCATCTGTGGGGTTTTCTGTTTGTTTGGTATTTTTTTCCCAGTGTTTAGAGTTAATGCTCCTTGGATGCCTTGGCTTATGACCCCTTCCTCCATCTTCAAAGCCAGCCATGAAGCATCTCCCAGTCTCCTTCTGCCCCAGTCACATCGCTTCTCCTGTGCAGTCAAACTTCCCTCTGTCTCCCTCCCAAAAGGACATAAGGGATTGCATTTAGGGCCCACCAGGATAATCTCTCCATCTCAGAATCCTTAATTTAATTACATCTATGAAATCCCTTCTGCCGTATAAGGCACCAGTCACAGGTTCTAGGGGTTAGGACCTGGATATCTCGGAGGGCCGTGATTCAGCCCATCACAGCTCTCTTTCCATTTTCTCTTTCCTCAGAGATTAATACTTTATTTTATTTTGTTTTGTTGATTTTTTTATTTTTTGTGATGTGGGGTGTAGGGGCAGAGAGAGAGGGAGAGAGAAAGAGCAATTTTAAGCAGGCTCCACGCTGGGCTTAAGATGACCCTGAGATTATGACCTGAGCTGAAATTAAGAGTCTGGGTGCTTAGCTGCCTGAGCCCCCCAGGTGCCCCTCCCCGGCGATTAATCCTGCCTTTGTTCTGTGCAGGGATGCAGCCCACTGTGTATTCTGTGAAGGAGGCTCTTCTGGGCAGACCCACCTGGATACGGATGGGCTATGAAATCTGTTATTACAAGTAAGTTAGAGTGTTGCTAGCTTCCTTTTGTCCGCTCTTTCATTCTTTCTCAATTTCCTGCTCTTCTCTGTTGACCGGAGAAACCTCAGCCCTCTTTCCATGTCCCAGTGGTGGGTGCCCTGCCCTTCAGAAGCACAAGTATGTTACATGGCGCCCACCGTGGAGCCCAAGAAGAGAAGTCACCTGTCCTCATTTCGACACACTGAAACCCTTAGGCCCTGTTGTTGGATGTCAGGACTTGTATGGACTCAGCCTGTGACTAGTTGGTCAAGCCTTCATTCTTGACTTTTTTTGGTGCAGTCCAGTGAACAAAAAATTCTGAGATGTTCTGGCCTACCCTTATTTATCCAATGCTTCAGTTTTCCAAATAGGTGGGAGTGGACTTGTGACAGGTGCACGTAAGTGACTGTTCCTCCACAGCAAGGTGATTTTTTGGGAAAAAAATAAAAGAGGGAGCATTTCTGGAGTTCATTTTCATCCCTTGATCAGCAGCTGGTTTCATCAATTTATTCTGTAAAGTTGTGAGTGAAATCTAAATTATCCATATCTTTTGATAAAAGAAGTGGATTCCCAACCCATGAATTGCTCATTTGTGCATTTTCTCTTGATGGAAAATAAAATACAAATTCATAAGGAAGAAAAAGGACAGGAACTGTTAGGACGGGCAGGAAATATGTAATTAATTATTAGCTCATTGCTAGTTTCTTTTAAAAACTGATAAGCTAGCACTTGTTTTATTGGATAAAGCAAGTTGTATCTCTTTCTGATATTACAAGAGGGCCGTGAGAAAAGTATTATCAGACATTCTAAAGTTGAGGATTGTTATTAATATCAAAAAGAAAGGGAATATATACTCTGTGCCTTTTGGCTGTCGAGACTGAGGACAGGAACACTGATAGAGCAACACAATTCCTGACCTTTCCTGTCTGTCAGACACAAAGGCAAAAATCACGATAGAGATAAGTACTGTCTACAAAACACAGAGCTGGGCTTTCTTACAGTTTGTAATAAAAGAGTTGGCAGTCTTCAGTCCGTGATGTATTAGGATATGGACCTGGGTAGTATTTTCATTATATTCTTTAGAACGATAGCAAAATATTACGATTTTGTTGGTTTTCCATTCACCTATATGGCAATTTCTCTCCGCCCTCCGTATCTAGAAACTGTCAGGATCTTTTCATGTTCCAAAGAGATTTAGATTAAAACCCATCCAAAGTGGTAGAAGCCAACAATTGCAGGGAAAAACAGCGAGAGTCTGAATTTTGAACCTTGGGGTGTCCTGTGAAAATAGTAACCCTGAATAAACATGAAAGACCCAGCTGGCTTCCTGCTTGGATCTGGAGCTTAGTAAGAGATGGGACAAGCATGACATTCAGTATTTTCTCTCAGGGGAGTAGAACTCCCCTTGGAGGCTGTTCCTCTGGGAGGTGGGGAGCAAGGAGCAGGCTTGAGGGGACTAAGCCCCTGCCAAAAAGAGAAGGAGGAAAGAAGCCCCACTTCCAAAAGCACAACCTTGGCCTCAGGAAAGCCAAAGTTAATGTTAATAGCTGTTAGATTCATTAGCAAGACAATTGTTATGTGATTAAAGAGCAACAGAGGGGTAACATGAAAACCATGAATGTATAATGTAATTCATTTTTCATATTGCAGTCATGAATACAACAGAGATGAATGGATAAGATCGCTACATTGTAACGTAGTTTGTTTTACAATTATTCACCACATTATGTTAACATATTTCTAATAACGTGATTTAACAACAGGGTAGATGTTTGTATCTCTATCCAACCACAGCTCCCTACTGTCGAATGCCTTAGATTGGAGAACATATTTCTCCCTTTTTACCCATCACAGTCTTTGAGTTGATTTGCTCTAGAAGATCTGTTTGCTTTACCCCTGCCTTTGTTTTCTCCAGTGTATTAATTTGAGAGAAGTTTATATCCTTATTTCTCTGTCTCCAGCACATCATCAGAAGCTTGGAAATTCTATTTCTATTGTGCTGTTAATCCCAGATTTAGTGCCACATTCTAAAGGGGGCGCCAGGGTGCTCATTGTGCCTGAGTACATATACGGAACCACAAATGAGAAAAGGACAGAGGGATGGGATATTCATTTCCTTCAGAAAGAGACAGCAGTGGTGATCAGTTAAGGATGTGGGCTGACAGCTTTGTGGGTCTCATCGTTATCAGTTAGAAAGTGGTCTCCTGTCTGTTTTGATAAGATAGAGTCATGCGTGTCCTTCTGATACAGATTTGTTTATAAGTAATTTTAATCAGTTACATATGCATTATTATACTAATATATGCATCAGAAGACATGCAAAGAGTTAAAATTATAAGTGCTAAGAAAAAGATGGAACAATGAAAAATTACAAGTGTCTACCCAGTTGTTACATCTTTATTCTGTTGATAACCAGGGCATGCTGTACCCATGGGGGTTCCCATGAAAAATACAGTTGTCAGTAGCCTTTTGCATAGTTTTGAAAGATCTCATTAGGCAGATCGACTTTGCCAGAATCTTTGAGAACTAGTGTGAAGAGTAGAAAATAGGCCATGTCCATTTTTGAGGGGTCCTTAGTGCTTGAAATTTAATGTTACCATCAATCTGGCCTCTAAGCAGAATAAACAACAACAAAACAACTAATGGTCTATATTGTGAGGTTTAGTTTAATTTAGGAAAATAGTCTATCAGTCTACTAAAGTAGGCTTCTGCAAACCACCTTGCCAGAAGTTAAAAGCAAAAGATTGAGGGAGGCACGGAGCTCTTCCCGTCCAGCAATTGATACTCAGCTTCCTGACGCATGAAAACCAGAGACGTATAATGCAATGCGTTGTTCGTATTCCGGCTCTGGAACACAGCAGAGAAGAACAGATAAGATCGCTCTTACTCCAGTTTGCTCTATAATTAGGCATCACATCAGGTTGACTTGGACGGCATAAGGACAGCAGTGTCAACCCCCCTCGCCCCCCCGTTAAACCTAGAGGCAGCTGAATTTCCTCCTTAGTGCATAGATCATACTCGGTTTGAGGAAAAATTCTAATGTTTTCTCCTGTGCGCAGTTGACCATCTTGCCTGTCCCCCGGAATCCCCTCTCCTTCTCTGTCCCCTCCCCCTCTCCCACCCACCTTGCAGACGGGTAGGCCAGAAAGTAAAAAGGATCCTCAGGAGGGAAGGGCCTAAATGAGCAGACTCCTTTATCCATGCCTCTCATGAAAGTAAGCAAGGACACTTTCAGTTTCTGCTCTATTTACTTCCCCGCGCCTGCTTCTCCCTGCAACGTACACAGCCTCACACCTTTCCGAATCCTTTCCTAGCTCTGGTCTAAAGTAATCTGGCTGCCGAAGGGCAGAGGGAGGGAAGCCGCAGGCTCAGAGTGGCCATGTAATACACAACGGCTGATCTCTTCTGACATTTATCTCTGCTCGCGAGAGGAGATGGAATAGCTCACTCATGAAGATGAATGTCGTACACGAGGTCTGCCGTCATGCATCCTTCCGAGGGATCTCGGGGGGAGGTTTGGCGTTGTGTGGAGTATTAGTAACGCTGCAGACACAGGGAAGCCCGGTGGCATGGCTGCTCTGCCTTATTAGACCCTGTTAAGTGAAATGATGTGCCCTTGTTAAACAGAGCCGGCCGTTATAAGATTATCTACTTCACTTTCTCTCTTGGCATTCGTTTATTTCATGCACCCGGAGGGGGGAAAAATGACTTCCCAGCATATTTTTAAGTGCAAATGGAAATAGATTGAGTTCATAACTATGTATTTTTGTACTTTGCTCCTTGCTTCATTGAAGGCTTTATGATTATAAAAGTGTAGATTGGTCCTAAGACAAATGGTTCAGGGAGTGGAAAAGCAAAGGGGGAGCCTTTTAATGGGAAGAGCTGGTTCTGCCCGACCCTGGGTCATTTTTGACCCAACATGACCTATTTAGGGTCCGGCAAATCTGAGAAAGCCCTTGATTTTCGCCAGGCTCCTTCTCCATCTCAAAGAGCAGATCAAGGGGAGAAGGTTCTTGGAATCAGACTTCCACCACTTCTCATCAGTTGTGTGACTGTGGGAAGATTATCCCAGCCTCACCGTCTGATTCCTTATTTGTAAAATGGAGACAATAATGGAATGAGGAAAAGCAGGTGTAAAGTTGAGCACAGTGTCTGGGGCACAGTAGGTGTTCAGTGAACGTCAGCAGTCATCGGTAGCTGGTAGAAACTTCTGAGTGGCACCAGGGACATAAAGAATCAGTGAAATGTTTCATTTTCATGAGTTCTCATCTGTTCTGAGTTATATTCCTTCTGTTACTTTAGACTTTAAGCTTATAAGCAGCCCCGATTTGTGAAGGCCAGAACTTCACATTCTTACTGGCTCAACTGGGCCAAAAGACTTCTTTTCGTCTTGCCCATTTCCAAGTGACAAGTGATATAATAAAAGAGATCTTGGTCTTGGAGCCCACTCGTAGGGTTGAAACCCCGCTTGTTATGCTTTCTGTGTGGAGTTGCTCGAGATGCTTCACGTCCATAACCCTTGATTTCCCCATCTGTGGAGTGTGCAGTAACGCTTATGCTTAAAAAGATACCAGTAGGATTAGAGGTTGGAATATTCTAGGTGTTCTAGTTACTACTCCTGGAGTCCATTTGTTCTACAGACTGTAACTGGACAGGTGCTAAGTCCAGCTCCCGTGTGGAGCATGAAAATACGCAAGCAGAGAAGCAGAATAGCCATCATAAAGGGTTAGTCGTGAGGGAGAGACAGAGTGTGCTAAGAACTGTGGAAAAGAGCAGGTATCCGGGAAAGCTTCCAGGAAGAGGAAACCCTTGGGTTGAGACTTGAAGGCAAAACGAGTTGTCTGAATGAGGTAGAAGGAAAGGGTTGTCTGTGTAAAGAAAGAACATGGGACCCCCTGAAAATAGAAAGGATGAATGTTAACTTCCTTGCAGACATCCCTCAGGATGTTCACATCATAGTTGGGAAAACAAAAGTAACTTGACCGTGCACCAATGGAATTGTTGCAAGAGAAGGGTTTCACTTTAGAGATTTATTGAACATTTCACTTTGAAGAAGGTGATCTTGGGGGACCGTCCAGGTCCCTGAAGAGGAGAGTTTTTGCTACTGGTAGAGTCATCTGGATTCTCCTGCTCCCCGTGCACGGCCACCAGGAGACTCCAGTGGGAAAACCTGACATTTGCTTTAGCCTCTGCTAGAGTTTCGATCCCAGACTAGGGTGGTCATGGAATTTCCTTCAGCAGAACCTCATCATAAATGAGGGGACACCCATTTTTAAATCCCAGCATTCTGCAGTCATCTTGGGGAGGGCCGGCTTACCAGTGAGGAGCATGTATGTATGTATGTATGTATTTATGTATTTATTGATTTAAAAGATTTTGTTTACTTTTGCAAGAGAGAGAGCAAGCATGAGTGGGGCAGGGGGAGAAGCAGACTTTCTAGGGATAAGGGAGCCTGATGTGGAACTCAGTTCCAGGATCCTGGGATCATGACCTGAGCCCAAGGCAGACGCTTAGGTGACTGAGCCACCCAGGTGCCCCAGTGAGGAGCTTCTAGTCTTGCCCACAAGATTCTTGCCCTTCAAGCTTTAGATAGTGTGTGTGTGTGTGTGTGTGTGTGTGTGTGTGTGTGTGTGTTGGGGCTGTGATAAGGTGGATTTCATACGACCAAAATGGCTGTTCGAATTCCTTATACTTCCCTTAAATCATGAGAATGTAGGTCCATAGAAGTTCAAAAACGAAGAATCCCTTTATTTTATTTCTCTTTCTGTTTCACAGTAGCTCTTCCCTCTCTGGAGTCCAGGTTTGCTTTGAATGGTGGAAAGAGCCTAGGGGTGGGGATTTCACATCCTTGCTTTCTCTTCCTTTCATGCTCACTCTGATGGCTGGTGGGGTGAGGCTGAGTTTGCCTACAGCCAATGTCCCTGTGGTGTGACTTCAGTGTATCTAAGGGTAGAGTGGGAAGTAGACCAGGAAGCATGCCTCGTGTCAAAGGACACCACCCCCAGGGAAATCTTCTATACCCTAGCAAGATGCACGCTCTGTGTCCACTCTTCGTGGGTGAAGAACTTGGGGATGGAGAGGCACTAGGTGTTCTGTTTCCACCTGCATTTACCTGCATGAATATGCTATAGGGGGCGTATGCACAGGTGTGTGCTCACGTGCATGTGCTGACAGGTGATGGGCTCTTCCACATTTTGGTCAGTGACCAACATCTCAATCATTTGACTGGTTCGTTTCCTATCCCATGGGTCGGCAGCATAGAGAGGTGTAATTGACCAGTTCCTGTCGTTCAGGTAGGTGTCAATTGGGTGAGCATTTGCAGGGGAGCCTTTTATGGGTGGAATCGGAGAGAAAAGGTAGAGCGTATGTGCCTGGCATGCTTTCTGAGCTGCCATCTGCTTCTTGACATACTTTCTAATAACCAGAGCCTGAGCTCGGAAGGAAGTCCAGAACTTTGGGGAAATGTGGAGAAAGGAGACCCAGTTAGGTATCAAGATCCAGATGGCACCATGGTTGAAGTTGCCTTCTTGAAGTTGCTGGCGCTGGAGTCACAAAGGAAATGGATCCTCTTCATGTGATCCAAACAGTGACCAGGAGGATCACTTGGGGCTTGCATTGTTAGGGGGTATCCTCTCCCAAAATGAGCAGGGCCCCAGGGTGCTGTGTTGGCAGAAGCTGAGGCAAGAGAAATGTGTCAGGCCATCGTCTGTGGGACTGCCACTCCTAGATGTATCAGTATCGAAAACCCACAAAACCGTAAGAAACAAGACAGTGTGTTTTCTGTCTCTTCCTTTATTGCTTGCCTGATTTTGTTTGTTTGTTTGGTTGGTTGGTTTTTGTTTTGTGGGGGGGTTCGTGGTGGCCCATAGGTAGCAAAAAGGCAGGAAAAAGGGGCAGGAAAAAAAATTTTTTTTCCATTTTGCAAGAACAGAAATTCATTACCTGCTATTTCTTCCCTCTCCCCACCCTTTCCCCCAATAAAACCCCAAAGCACTATGGACAAGTAAGCGAATACTGTGAATGTTCAAAAGGTGGAATTAATCTTTGGGTGTCCGGGCGTACTTTGCATCATAAAGCAGTCTTGATGGCAGCATTTCTCAGGGAAGCCTGCACAGCTGCCTCTTCATCAACAGGCAAGGCGCCGGCATAACAGGCAGCGTGTGGGGAAAATATTGCTCGGAATGTACTTCTGGGTGCAATTCACTTCGATACTGTTCTCTGAGTTATCAAAATTGGTTCTTCATCTCTGACAAAGGAAACTGCGTACTCTGAAGCTCTAAGACGCTGAACCACATTTAGGGTGACAAATGTATTCCTTTGGGAAGCAAGTATTGTACAGTGGAATGAACAAAGCCTTCCTAGACAGACAGATCTGGGTTCGAGTCCCATCCCGACCACGTTCAAGTCTTGCAACCTTTGACAAATTAATTTTCCTAAGCTTTTGTTTCTTCATGCACAGGATGTGTTGTTGCAGTGATCACATAAGGTGACATGGGTTAAGTGTCGCATTGGAACTCAGTATGTAGTAGTCATGATTGTTAAAACCACTTGGTTGGCGGAAGGGAAAGAAAGAGCTGAACTTGGGGCTGGGGTAAGGCAGGGGCTGGGGGAACCCACATTTGGGTAATAAAGTATATCTCTGCCATTGTGTCTTGAGATACACAGAATTATTCACATACCTGTCTGTTTTCTTGCTCAGTGACTCTGTAGGCTTCGTGGTATGTGTGGTGTGTGTGCCACAAATAGGAGACAGATTAGATCTGGGGTGCCCCAGTTGCTCAGTCAGTTAAGTCTGACTCTTGATTTTGGTTTAGGTCTTGATCTTAGGGTTATGGGATCGAGCCCTGTGTCAGGCTCTGTGCTGACTGTGGAGCCTCCTTGAGATTCTCTCTCCCCTTCTCCCTCTGCCCCTCCACTCCTGTGTGAGTGTGCCCTCCCTCTCCCTAAAAAGAGAGAGAGACGGGTGGACCCGCCTACACGTTGCTGGTTTGGGTCATGACCTGTCAGTTTCCCTCTTTTCTAAATTTTACCCAAATAGAGTTTCGAGTGAGGAACATTTGCCACTATATATCAGGGCACGTTTATGGCATCTGCCTTCTTTCTCTTTCAGGAATCATTATCGCCAGCGTGCAGCTGTCACGGGAGGAGCATCTGAGAAGTGTTTTTACACCCTCACCTTTGTGGTCACCTTCCCGCACAATGAGGATGCCTGCTACCTGGCCTACCACTATCCCTACACCTACACAGCCCTCCTGGTAATGTGCTCTTGGTGGCATCACCCCAGATGGGCTGAAGGGGCTCATTGGGGTTTCCCTGAAAATATTTAGTTAGGAGGCCCTGTTATCCTGGTGGGAAACTATAGTTGCCTTCCTAAGGGATCCAGGCTTTGCTGTCACTGATCTGGTGACTTTCCGTGGGGGCCACCTTCTTCTGTGGGCTGAGTGGGAGGCTGGGGTCATGACAGGGATGTTCTGAGGCCCCAAGGAGCACCAAGGGGTCTACATTGGCAGGTCGAGTATACAAGGAGGTGGGCCTGTGTTGTAGGGGCTCTGTCTTTAAGAAACCCTCAAGTTGAAACATGAAGTCATGAGATTGGAGTGAGATGATCTAGTCGAAATGGGGGTAAAAAAAAAAAAAGGAAGAAAGAAATGGGGGTAAAAACCATAAGGTCAGCCGAGAGGCAGATTTGAAGCCCATCGCCCCACTGAGAGGAGTGAAGCAGAAGGTAAAGACGTGGAGAAGAAGCTGGAGGAAAGCGCCTGAGCCCGTGAGCAAGCAGCCCCTTCAGCTTTTCTTGGTTGTAGTTCCCATGGCCTTGGACGGGAGGTGCTAGAAGAATCCAGGGTATGCAAGAGGTGTGGAAGAAGCCAACACAGAGTCACTGCAGTTGAGGGCCTCATTCTGGCTACAAGAGGGGTGTGGAGTTCAAACCTGATGTTAGCATTCCTGGGTTGGGTCCATCCAGCCCCTGCAGAAGCCTCACTGGACGGATCTGAGAAAACCGCTTAAACCGTGCAGTTGCCTATCATTGGGAAAAGTTGGCCAACTGTCCCTCCCCCCACCCCCCAGCTATTTCATGGCAATCCCGAGGAGTAATGAGCTAGAAGTGTCTTCTGTAAAGCACTCTCATCCTCTGTGTTAATGCAGAATGTTATTAGCATATTTGTAGTAATATGTGCTCTGTGTGAGTGTGTGTGTGTGAGTGTGTGAATGTATCTGTCACTTAGGCTGAAGGACGAGCGTTCTCATTGTAAGTCTGTGATAAGGAGTGGGAAAAGATAATAACCAAGAACATCCCTTGCCTTCAAAAGGAGCATACAGGTATACGTGAACGTTTTCCTCCATCGAGAAGGCCTATCTGACACCACTTGGCTAACTGCTTCAGGAGAGTGTCTCCGCCCTGCGCCCCATATGTTGTCTGGCCTAAAGAGAGATTTTTTTTTTATTGTTTTCCCAGATTGCAAAAGATACACAACTAGTATTATTTGTGTCTCACACTCAGAGATCTCAAAAAGTTAATCCAAATGTGCGTCACAGGCGATGCCGTAACAAGCTATGTTTATTGTAAAACGTGCTTTTCGCCTCTGGGGACGTCGAGCAGGCGAGATTCATGGTCACCTTCAACAGCTGCTTTTATTGTCTTGCCTGAGAAGCGCCATGTGTAGAAAGTCGACTGGGGAAGGGGACTCCTCTGGGTGTGTATGTTTTGCCTTTTCTGTTGGGGGAAGGATCTGGGCGTCCCAGACCCTGTTCTTTGCCCTTGTTGGAGTATCTAGACACTGATGTGATTCTCAGTGGCAGTTAATATACAACTTTAGAGCTTGAAAGGGGTTTGGGAAATCATCTGATTCACCCTGAACATTTGCAGATGCAAACACTGAGGCCTAGACACCTTGCACCCAGCTAGTAGCCAAGCAGGGAATGGAACCCCAGCCTTTGATGGCTAGTCCTGTCCCTTTCTGCTGTTCTGTAGAAAAAGTGTAGAAGAAATTCAGCAAAGTTCTGCTCTGGGATCAAGATCAGTGTCTTTGCCTCCTCTGATGGACAGTAGCTACTGTAACAGTAGTTTACCTTTATAGGTACATGTAGTATCAAGTTACGTGATTGTATAATGTCTGATGGTTGGTTCAAGTCATCAGTCCATGGTTTTTATCTGTAACACCGAGTGCCTCGAATGTGGTTCAGCAGGATCATGTTGTTCCTCAAACACAATGCAATTCTTACCCCCAGAAGCTCTGACAGGTTCTTGTGAGGTGCCTGCTGTTTCAAAGTCTAGAACTTAAGGTAAGAAGCCACATGCAGTTAGGCTCTGCCTGAAAAAGTTTCAGATTTTGAATCAACTTGCAGGCACCTACCTCGCAAGAACCCATTAGACCATCTTAGGGTTCAAATGGGACCCTGTTTGGTTCCCTCTCTGTTTTTATCTTATTTTCTTTTTCCTTCCTTTCCCCTACACTCATCTATTTTGTTTCTTAAATTCCACATTTGAATGAAATCCTGTGGTATTTGTCCTTCTCTGACTGACTTATTTCACTAAGCATAATACCCTCTAGCTCCATCTACATCGTTGCAAGTGGCAAGATTGCATTCTTTTTGATGGCCAAGTAATATTCCATTATATAGAGTTAACTGTAGGAAACACACTGAGGGGGGCTGGAGGAGATGGGTCAGGTGGATGGGGTAACTGGGTGATGGGCATTAAGGAGGGCCCTTGATGGAATGAGCACTGGGTGCTCATTTACATTTACATTTGCATTACATTAACTGAGGAATCACTAAACTCTACCCCTAAAACTAATAGTAGGCTATATGTGAACTAAATTGAACTTAAATAACAAATTAAAAAAAAAATGGGACCGTGTTAGGGGAACAGCACTATCCAGATGAACCATGTCCATGGCTCTCAGTGTTATGGATGAAACCATGGGGTGATGACTTGACCCCACCATCAGAGGTTGTACAACACGCACAGCTTGGTGGCTGCGTGGACCTACAGCAGTGGGCTCCAGTTGGAGGAGCTACTGTCCGTCACACCTTATGCCTCTGGGATCCACTTACCTTTTGTGCTCTTGTCAGACCACAGGGTCTGGAATTTATAATCAACAAATAGCTTGGGAACCAGTAGAGTCAGTGGGGGGATGATTTTGTCTTGAGGGGGGACAAGAACACAAGAAAAGAGGAGCCCCCTCCCCTCCCAGTTTTTCGGTCTCCACGAGAGGAAGAGAGATCTTGTCAGAATCAGAGCTCACTGGCTTGTTCCTTAGCCCGTTGGCTGGAACCTCTTCCCATTGGGGAAGTTTGAAGAGAGTTAATGAAGAAGAGACAAGGGAGAAAGGATATGTTTTCATTTCTCTTAAATGAGCAGAGCAGAGTAAGAAAGACATTTGTTACTTGAAGGTGAAAAATGATATATGATCAGTTTTGGGTTTTACATTTCCAGTAACACACGGTCTTTGTTCTCTCCAGGTTTAAGACTGTAATGAACTCTAAGTCTTCTCTTCAAAATCTCTTCCTCCCGTCCTGCACACAAGGAGTACATTCCATAGTGCACACTACCCATTTTTATTTTTGGACATGTCCTAAGGAGAAACAGTTTTCCTTCCAGCAGATCAGTGATAAATTAAATGTGAATGATACCCTGAGGGCAGAATTAACTGCATGTTACTTGGGGTTGATGCTGAGGGGATGGAGAATACATTTCTATGTGGAGTTTACAATTTGTAAATCTCCTCTAATGTGGATTATGTTTAATCACAGGCATTTTTGAGGTGGAGGACATGTGTATTGGATGTTTTTCAACATGAATACAATTTTGCAACTTAAAAAATTTTTATTATTCTCTTATAATATGAGAATTAGCATTTGGTCCTTTCCAACTGATGTCTTCCAGATGCTTGCCAGGAACTCTGTGAGATAATTGTCCAAATTATAGTATTAAAATAAAGCAAAAAGAAAGAAATATAATATTATTATAGTTAGGAAGCAAGCAAATGGAATTCTATTTTAACCATCCATATCAAGCTGTCAGTAATTGCAATGATGGTTCAAGTGTTAGCAATCCTCATTAAAGTATTTGGATTATGTTGTAGATTGTCCCAAGGTAGCCAGTAGTGTTGGTTGAAAATGGGGCCCCAAGAGAGTTTCTGATGGGCATTTTAGAGAGCAGGAAGGTAGGATCTTACTAGGCACTTAAAACAGTACAAGTTGGCAGGAGTTAAGAAAAGTGATCATAAGTAGGGTCCATATGTTGGCAGAGCTTAAGGCTTTGAAAGTTGGAGCAGGATTTTTCAGTGGACATATATATGTATGTATGGTGGCAGGTGTTCCCACTATTATCTTTAGAGACAAAATGGAGTCTAGTGTAGGGAAAGAGAGAGTGGGAGAAGGAAAGAAAAGAGAAAATTAGAACGTCATTTGCACAGTCTTTTAGAAGGGCTCAGCATATAAAAGCAATTACCACACGCATTGTTATGAAGGGTAAATGACTTGCTACGTGGAAAGCGTTGGCCAAGTGTGTGCGTGTAGTGAGTGATACTAGATGGTAGGCATCAGAGCATTTATTCTCTTTTTTATAATGATGTGTAATCATTTTCTCCATCGGGCTGATGGGGAGATACCCATTCCGTAACTCACAATAAAATTAAAATTCTGTAAAAAAAAAAAACAAAAACAAATATAGGACCACAAGGAAATAAATACAAAGGCTACTGATGGCTGTCTTAGGGATGTTGATTAAAATAATTTTTAAAGTCTCTTTTCTAAATCATCAGTGATATGACTTCATTTATTTTTAATGGAAAAAGAACATTAACATCATCTTTTCTTTCCAGTTGGCAAATCTGTGACCAGACACTTCTTAAATTAAGTCCGTTTAACGTAGGGACAGTGGTACTGGCAGACGGGCAGTCTGAGAAAGCCTGATAGAGCCCTGGGTGGCATGGTCTGTGGCTTCTGTTTAGCTTACCTATGGCATTTGTTCTTGCCTTGTGATGAGACGCCTTCCAGTCTCCAACAAGTATATTTAAGTGACAAGTGAGGACTAGTCTGTATATGAATAAAATCAGCCATCTCCTTAGGAGTGAGCTTTCTTCTGCATTAGGGGGACAGAGAGCAGAGTAGTTTAAGGGCTAACAATGAAAAATGAGTGATTTTGAGCGCGGGTGCTTCTCATTTTATCAGTAGCCATCGGTGGGGGTAACCTGCTATGGTCAAGTGAAACCTTTTCTGGAAGTTTTAGGAGAGCAGCTGTTAGGGG